AGGTATATTGTTCACTCACCAGATGCTTTATAAATGGCATGAAGAGAATTAAAAATACAATTTTGTAAACTCATCACCTGACTTCATCATTTTTTACCTACAATTATATTTACAATGTCAAGTGCAATTTCTACCAGAACATGAAAGGCACATAGGGATTTACTAGCTAAAAACACAAACTTTGTCAAAATCAAATTGTTCTTCAAAAAAGTCCAAAATACGTTTGAAGGAGATGTAGTCATTCAGTCCTCCTTGGTCATTATCCAAATTAAAGAGATCCTCTTTGTATTATTTGGAAATAATGAATCATCATCCCTCTTAAACTCTCCATGGCATTTGATAAAAGCAAATAAAGAGATTGACTAGGTTTGTAAATAATTGGTACCTATACTACAATTATTCAAATATTCCATGACCATGGCAGGCATCACTAATTTAACTTTGCACTCTGAGTTCCCCTAATCCTCAATTTCTTCTTTAGACCACTTCTCAGAACAGGTAGTCACTACCAATCAATCATAGTTGTTCCGCAACAAAAACCCTAAAGTAAAATCAGCAGACTCATTTTCCCTTCCAGAGAAAAAACATTTCTATCCAGTAATCTTCATCCTATAAAACAAGGTCATCTCATACCAATGGCAAGTTCTACTACAAAATCAAATATTAATTTCAAAAGTAAACATTTTTAGATTATTTAAGAGGAAAATTTGTAAGGTTATCACTTGTGGCTTCATCAAAGTAGCACAGTAAAATGATACTTGAACAAAGGGTACTTTTTCATTTTGTACTTAATATTCATTAGATTGAAATCTTTAGATTTCCTGAGACAATATGAAAGTATCTTCTAATGTGAACTTCCTGCAGTCTGAACAATGCATACTTAGCAGTGAAAACAAAACAAAACAGTCTTTGGTTTTAAGGAAGAGATGGTTAAAGAGTTACACACAGGGGTTGGGGGATGTGCACCCATTTCCTTGTGTGAGTTCTCCCCAGAGATTGTAAGGAGGTGGAAACTACCTCACTGTGGATAACCCCCTCCCACCACCACTACCCCAAAAATGAGATGATGGGATGGATCGCAGTTAAAAGGGTGAAGCCTTCAGTTAAAGGAGGGATGGGCAGGTGGGAGGCCATGTTGGAGTTTCAAAACATTTTATCTGTAGCCATTGGCCTTATAGGCAGTTTCTAGCCCTACTCCTACAGTGCAAAAAGTAAATATTTGTGTCTTGGAGGAGGGGAGGAGTTGTATGGAAACCCAGGGAGGAGGGAGAAATGAAAAAAGTCACAGAAGGAAAGAAAGGGAAAGACAAAGAAGTTAGCTGGAAGGAAGGCAAGGAAATAGTTTACAATGCAGCAAATCTTACTGTAAAGGGCCAGATAGTCAATATTTTGGGTTTTGTGGGACTGCCATATTGTGATTTATAGTAAATATGTGTATATTTGGTCATTCACATTGTAACAGAGACACCTCCATATAAAAGGGAAGCACCCGGGCCTTGCCGGTAGCCATTTGAGCGCAGTGCTGTGAAGCTGCCCACGGCCTCTGCAGTGCTGGTTCAATCCTGGCCGGCCCGCGAGGATCCCACATGGCGAGGCAGACCTCTCCTGTCTTGCCCGCTGCTCCTCTCAGCAGTGTATTTCGTCAGTCTGCCTGTTCTGTTCCCTGCTCTGTCTCTGGTGAATCCTCTCTCACCCTCCCGCGCATCTGGCCTGTACCCTGGTTCTTGTATAAATAAATAAATAAATAAATAAATAAATAAATAAATAAATAAATCTTAAAAAAAATCAAAAAATTAAAGGTAGGCACCATTTTCCATTGTCAGTATTGTAGAGATAAATCAGGAGCAGTGGGAACTGGCATGACTGGAAAGCTGGACCCTGTTTAAAGGGAGCAGCCATGGCCAGATCCTGTCGGTGACCACCAGTTTGCAGCTTGTGTGAGAAAGAAAATCTTGCCCACAGCTCAGAAGGAAAGAAAGGCCCAAAGCAGTAATGAGTTTGTGTGTATCAGGTTTTAAAGATTCAGAGGGCAGGAGGAAACTAGGGACATAATGCTAATTCCCTAAAATGTTTGCTCTGGAGACCTCCTAGACCAGGGTAGTCTCTGATGCAGCTTTGGGTCTCCACAGCAGATGTGGTGACCCCATGCACAAATGTGGCCCATACAGCCAGTGCCCCAGCAACCTCCAAGAAATGGAAGGAAGAAGTCAAATGTTCCAAGATGACCAACTAGCCTCTCATTGTTCAGGACTGGAGGTGACAGTAAAATATACATCTACACACCTGCATACATTGCACATCCACCTGCAGGGGCAGCGACAAAGACACACATGCACACCTATATGTTCCATGCACGTGTGCCTCTGTACATCCAGGCTCACACATCTACACACACATGCAGGCACAGATACAGACACATGGTATACAAGATAAAGACACCCAGAGGAGTTCTCCTTCCTATTCCCCTTCCCCACCACCACATACGCAACTTCTTCATCAATTAGAGATTACTGACTGGCACTCTTTAGGGCAGATCTAGCCTACTGGAGATTCATTTGGATCTTATAACGATAAATAAAAATGGAATCATTTCCAACAATAAAAAAATGCAAAGATTTCCTATAAAAATATAGATTTGTAATTTCTCTCAAAACAAACAAAAAACCAAACCAGAATATATGGTAATATTGGGCCCACATTCCAGCATGGCAAGTTGGAGTACAGGGTTGGCTGCCCCTGCCACACAAGTCATGCTCTCAGACTGCCACAGGCCCCACCACTCCCTACTGTCTTTCTCCAGTCTGCCACATTATGGTAGGTTGTGTGGAGAGCCTTGAAATAAAGGGAATGAGGAAAGAATAACCTAAGAGCAGAGCCTGAAGCAGAAGGAAATAAGAGAGGGAAAGAAGAAGAAGAATATGCAGTGGATGCCTCAGGCTTCCAGGGGCATACAGAGTGATTCAAAAAAGCTTTATCCTTCCTGAATCATCACTGAAATCGTAATCACTGTTTATTGGACAGAGGAGCAGTGTACTGTGCTCTCTATATTATTTTAATTCTTACAATTAAATTCATTCTTTTATCCTGCTGAGTAGGTTTTATTATTTCTATTTTATAAGACAGACTCAGAAGATAAATAACCTGAGCTAAGACTTTAACCCACATCTTTCTGACCCTCAAACCTTCTCCTGTCCTTTTTAATTATAAAATATTTAATATGAAAGCACAAAGGATATCTTTCCTTTCAAAAAAGAAATTAACACAATGCAGTGAAAGGCAATAGGAGAAAATGTTAGCAAGTCATGTATCTGATAAGGGGTTACTATCCAGAATATATAAAGAACTCCTGCAACTCAACAAAAAAATCAAGTAATAACCTAATTTAAAAAGGGGCAATGAGCTGTGTTGCCATCTCTCCAAAGATGCTATACAAATAGCCTCCAAGCATAGGAAAAGATGAACATCACTAATCTTTAGGGAAAGCAAATCAAAACTACAATGAGATGAGATATTCTATGCTCGTTACAGTGCAGAAAGTAACAACAGAAGCACAACAGAAAGTAACAAGTGTTGGCAAGGATGTGGAAAAACTGGAACACTTGTGCACTGTTACTATAAAACGGTGACGGTAAAATGTTAATGTAAAATGGTGCTGCTGCTACGAAAAAACAGTATGGCTGTTTCTCAAAACATTAAAAATAGAACTACCCTATGATCCAGCAATCCCGTTTCTGGATACAGATCCAAAAGAATTGAAAGCAGGGTCTCAAGAGACATCCACACACCCGTGTTCAGAGCAGCAACAGTCACAATCGCCAAGAGGTGGAAGCCAACCAAGTGTCCACTGACAGATGGACTTTTCTTTAGGAAATGTGGAACATACAATGGAATGTCATTCATCCTTAAAAAGAAACAAAGTCCTGTCAGATGCTACAGCATGGGTGGATCGTGAATATGTTATGAAGTGAAATAAAACCACCACAAAAGATAATTATAGTACTATCCCATTTACATGAGGTGCCTAGAGTAGTCCTGTGCAGGGTGCACTGTGGTGCTCAGCAGAGACGGGCGGGGAGGCAGGAGGAGGAGGTAAGGAGAGGAGTTACTGTACAGAATTTTGATTTCATGAGATGGAGTTGTTCTGGAGATCTGAGCTGTATGCTTAGCAAATGGTTAAGATGGCAAATTCTGTCACGTGTTTTTTATAATTAAAAAAGGGAAATTAACTCCACAGATGCAGGTAAGGTCCCTGCTATGGCCAGGCGGGCAGTGTCTCTCCTTCTGCTCCCTGCACCCCCGCCATTACTGCCTGACTCCTGGTAGTTTTTACATGCTGTGAATCACACATATCCATAAACAAGAGGCAGCATTTTGTGTTTTAAAACGGTCTTGCACCATATGTAACGTTCTGCTGCTTGCTCTTTCCCTCAACATTATTTTAAAATCTGGTCCATTCACTGTAATTGCTGTCAAGTTTTCTCTGCCATGAATGTGACTCTTTATTCATTTTCTTGCTGATGGACACTTGAATTGTTTCCAATTTTAAAAATAGTCACAAATATCCCCGCAGAAAATGTTTCTGCACAGGTCTCCATATGCAAGGATGAAGGACTTGGTGTTGGTAGGACTAACTCATTCCACTCATTGCTTGGCTGTGCTGAGTGATGTTACAAGTTCCTGGAACGTTTCCTCTACATAAAATAAATCAACTTGTCATTCTATTTCTCAATGCCAGTGACCAAGCCCTGAAGGAAATGAAGACCGAGAACTAAACTCCTTTGTTGCGAGCTCTGGGATTCCCTACAGCAGGAATCTGATCTGACAGCAAACCCACAGGCTGCCCCGCTGCTCTCTGGGGCTGAACATTGCCCAACTGCATCAGGCCCTTTTTGCTGTCCGGAGAGGTTTGAGGTTTCCGTGAGAGCTGGGCACATGGCATCCAGCCACAGGCTGGCGCTTTACAAAGGACAAAAACAAACAAACAAAAAATGTCCCTTTCCCAAGCTTCGATCCCCTTACAAATTGCATTGATGGCTTTAAGGTCTGCCTTTTCTAATAAAGGCAACCGTGCCCCAGGCTCCTGATGCCTTTAGAAAAGCAAAAAAATAAATTCTGCATGCAAGGGGCTCTTCAGCCAGTGCAGAAAGTGGGGAGCCGCTCAGTGCCTAGATCTCCAAAAGGCGCCTTAGCCATTTATTGCTGAGGGAGATAATCACATTGCAAAACAAGCAGTAGGAGGTGAGCTTATTTCTGATTTGGGTTTTTAAAGCACAGTATAAAAACACAGATGTAGAAAATATCCGACAGACCCCACCCACACCTCTGAGGAGCAGATTAAGAGCGCAGAGGAGGTGGGTGGGGATAGGACCTTTGGCTTTGGGCTTCATTTCATTGTCTACTTTCTCTTGAGTAAACACCTGTCACTTTCTATATAGGCAGGAACGTTTCCAGAGGACAGGCTGTGTGCCGTTCTTCCAGCCCCTCTGTGAGGCCCAAGGGAGCAGAGTTCATTGTAAAAATATTCTGTTAGAAATAATTATTAACAAAGGTTATTGTACGTCAAAAAATGCATCCTATTTTTAACACTTATGTGTCAATAAGCACTTACTGAGTAAGAGTTAGAATGAGAAGAACCTTTTTTGGAACAAAGTGTGATGTGTCTAAACCAACCAGCTCATTAAGGAAGGACGCAAAGTGTCCCTCGCTATAAAACAAAACCGTTTAAGAGACGAGTGACCCATCTGTCAGACTGGCTGTTGAGATATTCTGCCTCATGACAGAAATAGACATCCTGGATTTATACACATCAATTTCCCGAGACAGATAGGGGAGGGGGGAAGTTTGAGACAACGAATACCTCAACTGCCATTTATATGAAATGGGAAAAAGGTGACAAGTGTCTCGATTGTGGCCCAAGTCTTCTGCCTGGCTCTTGAGGTCCTCCCCAATGCAGGCTTTTCCCGCACCACCTCGTTTGCCCCCTCACCTCTGCCCCCCCACTACCTCCTCTCACCACCCTCCCCACCTCTGCTCATCTTCTTGCTCCACAGCTTTGCCTAGCTCTCTCCTTCTGGCCCATAGTCAAGAACTCCCACCTCCTCAAAATGTCACAATCTTTGGTGCGAACCCCTCCTGGGCACCCACCTCACCAAATCTCACCATGTCAGCTGTGCTCCAGACATGACTCCACCTGCTGTCCTCCTGAAAGGTTCCCCTACCGCACCCCCATCTCCATCCCTGACTAATTCTGTCACTCACATCTTTCCTTAAGACTCACCTCCTACCTTCACCACTGAAAAACCTCCATTATTAATAGTTTGTGACACCTCTTCTAGTCTATTATTAGATCATTAATTCTCAGAAAAATAAACACAAGCAAATACTATTATTATTGCTATCTTACAGATGGGGAAACTGAGGCTCTGAACCCAGGTCTCTCTCTCTCTCTCTCTCCAAGTCCTGGGCTTTTTTTCACTGAGTCACATGAAAAACTTTGGGGAACCTTTTGTCCTCTGTATGGAAACGTGAGGTTCCTAAAGAGAGAGGCTGCATGTCCTATTTGTTTTCCTGTTCCCAAGGCCGAGCACAGGCCCTGACAGTAATGCCAAGGCCAGGAGGGTGAGCAGGAGGAAGAGAAGGGATTCTTACTGGGAGGTCACTGGGGATAGTTGGGCACTGGCCCCTCTGAGCACTACTTTTTCATTCATCCAACAAATGTTTGCTGAGCAGCCCTGTGCCAGATATAACTACAGATGCATGAACCAAATAAAGTTCCTGCCCACTGAACTCAGCTCCTTGACAAAAAAGTAAAAGCAGATATAGGATAGAACATAATGTCCATGCTAAGTGTTAGGAAGAAAGCATGAAGGATGATGTGCCACTCCGGAAAGGGCATTCAGGGAAGGAGGCTGCTCTGAGGCAAGTGGACCTGGGCCACCTGGAGGGGCTTGCAAGTGCTCCAGTTGGGAAGCTGTTGCAGCAGGAAAGATGGCAAAGGTTCAGACCAAGCAGGGAAAAGTGGGTTTTAGCGAGAAGCAGCTGGACTTGAGATATATTTCAAAAGTAACACAGTAAGAGGGACCTAAAAACAAACTTGGCCTGGTTCTTCACAATCATTCTCATGGCAGGAAATTTTTCACTTAATAATGCCTTTGATGAAGCCATTATAATTATTAAGTTTATTAAATATTGACCTTTGAGTGCGTGCTTTTTTAATATTCTGCATGATGAAATAGGAAGTAACCATAAAACATTTCTCCCATAACTGAAGGATAGTGATTCTCTTGGGGAAAAAGTACTTTGTGTTTGAGTTACCAGCCAAACTAGCTCCCTTTATTAATTATGAAACATTTTTAGTTGAGAGAATGACTTCCAAAGTGTGTTTATTCAGACTTACATATCTGGAAAACATTTTCTTGAAAGTAAATGAAGCGAGTCTATTATTCCAAGGAAAGCAACTGAAATGTGTGTTGATAATGATACAAGTTGGGCTTTCATGTGAAAATTATTATTGCTAGAGCTAATAATTTGTGATTAGATAATTTATCTGAATGTCCCACTAGAAAACTGATCTCAGGACCTTTGCACTTGCTCCCTTTAACTACCTCATTCACCAGTTCTAGTATTCGTGATAAAGGGGTGTTTGGAGAAGCCTTATCCATCACCTTCCTTTCCTGACATTTGTCAGAGAAGTGACAGTTGTCATTTTCTCTAACCAGAATATGAGCATCACTGTTTAATCTTCATTTAAATGATGCTTCATCAGGAAGACTTTTCCTGAATCTCCCCTCCCTTCCTCCATCTCATAGATCAGAATAGGTACTCTTGGCACCTTGACTCTCTCCCTCCCTCCCAAAAACTAGTAACAGGGGATTACAGAGTTAACTTCTGAGAATATTAGTTTTGTCTCAGGCTCCTCCATTCAAAGTAGCTCCATGAGGCTAGTTTCCTTGTTTCGCTTTTTCACTGCTAGATCCTCAATTTCTAGAACATGTATTGAAAACATGAGTGACTGAAGGTGTGTGTTTAACTGTATGTGGGCCAGCTGAAGTTACCAGCTGTGGGTCTGCAGCTGTGTGTGGTCATGCAGCATGGAGCGTGGCTGGTACATGGCATGATTTGTAAAGATTCTTTTCTGAAAAATCAAACCATGGTAAGCTTCATACAGAATTTTAGTTTCCAGACCATTTAGAAGACAAGATACTTCTGTGTTGAGTGAGAGAAATAGGGAGAAGTGGGGTCTGTCTTAGATCCTCACAATCTCCTCTTCACCCTCCTCTTTTGCTCCTGATGGACAGTGTCACGGAAGGAGGACTAAGAGAAGGAGCAGGGCCCTTTCTTCCACAGTGTCCTTTCACTCCCTCCTCTCCAGAGAGAAGGCAGAGTGCAAATAAGGCTGTTTTGTCTTATGTGGATTTGGAAAATGTGCAAGTCAGAGAGGCCTTTGGATTCAGTGACAGGTTGAGAAAATAAGTTTTAATGATGAGGAGAGAAGGAAATAGATTGTCAAAATATAAATTCATCAAGGCATTCCCCCAGGAGCCTGTTTTGGCAGTAAGGATAATTAAGCTTAAGTTTTAAAGGTCAGTTTTAAGCAACTGATGAGGCAAATGGCAACAGTGACATCATCCTGGTCTCTGTATCTGTGGCAACTGAAATTCTGAAATGTGATTACACATAAAACTAGAACTCCTGTATTAGTCTAAGCATCAGTCCCAAATAAGTACTTGAGAAAGTAGGTGAGCCTTTCATATCCTCTTGGATGACCGCCACCAAGAGCTGGGAAGATAAGCAATAAAAACTACTGATAAAACTGCCTGCTAATGAAACAGGCCCCCAGGTCTCCAATCCCATCCATTTCATCTGTGTATTGGCCTGAAGCTGGAGGGTAAAGGTAGCATAAGAAGGTAATTACCCGGGCATTTGAATGACCTCTTTGAAAAAATAGCTGTTTTGGGCCTCCCTGGTGGCACAAGGGGCAAAGATGCAACCTATGAAGCTCTTCGCAGCCACTACAGCAAGAGTTCAATCCCCAGCCAGGGAGCTACCCACATTATGCAGCAGACCTCTCCTGACTCACCCACTGTTCCCCTCAGCAGTGTATTTCAGTCAATCCGCCTGTTCTGCTCCCCATGCTGTCTCTGGTGAATTCTCTCACCTCCCCCCCCCCACCCCGCACCTCTGGCCTGTACCCCAGTTCCTGTATGCATAAATAAATAAATCTTTAAAAAAATAGCTGTTTTTTTCCCCAATCATGAACATAACGATTAGAAAAGAAACCAATATACCTTCATTCAAGAAAATCTCTAAATTCAGACAACTATCAAGACAAGCGTACCTGCAATCTCAATTGGGGTATTTCTTTCCTGTCTTTTTCCTGTGCACGTATTTATTGCATAAAGTTAGAACACTGTTATGATCTTTTTTCCATATCATCATTCTTTGAATATAACTTTTGACAATTGCATAAAATCCTATCCTATAAACCAACAAATTATTTTATACTTTGTCTTGTTTATTCCTAATGGCAATACTGATTAAGATGTTAATTCTTACACTTCACCTTTTACAGCCTGTTGCCTGTCCTGCACAGACCGTCTCGCCTCCACTTTAGGAGGTGGGGCTCTTGGCATTGATCTAACCTCACCCTGGGTCATCAGTTGAAGCTGAAATGAGAGAGACCCATTTAGCATCTTGCACCAACATAAAGACAAGTTGCAGGAATAATGAGGAGGAACCAAGAGAAATATAGCCACAGTGGTAGACTTTTACCCACTTATTTCAGTTTTTGTTGGACTAGATAGAGGGAAAGAAGTGAGGACATTAAATATAACAATATAAAAATGAAACAATTCAGTATTTCAATGTATTTTATGTCATCTATAAGAGAACTGAGTTCTTATATGTACTATATGAATACTATATTTTATTCACAGTATATGAATAGTCTGGAAAAATTATTAATAACCTACAATAACATACTTAATAATAAACTAAAATTCTAAAACCTATTCCCTGAAAAGTAGGCTTCTTTTTAAGCATGGATGGGAAAATTATAAAAATAAACCTAAAAGAACAGCTCTCCTCCCTGCCGCCTGTGACTATGCAGGCGTCTCTCTGTTTTCCTTTCTCCTTTTCTTAATAAGCCTGTTCTTTTAAAATATAAAAAAAAATAAGGGAAAGCCCATGATACATAAGTTAGAAATAGTACAAGTCACAATATCTGATCATAACATGATAAACCAAGGAATAAAGTAGAAGCAAAATGTACACTCTTTGAGAATGTGAAGATTTTCTATCAAACTGCTCTTGAACAAAAAATAAATGTATGGACCATTTGGGAAATAATGCTGGTGAAAACATTACATATCAAAATCCATGGGTAGAGCTAGATCTGCATGCAGAGGAAAATGCCTAGCCTTAAAACACTCTCTACTGAATAAGAAAAAAACAACAACACTAAACCATAGCAGTTTGTCCAAGAAGCATCATTTTTCCTTCACAAGTTCCCCGCAGTGGTGATTTTGTTAATCTTCCCAAAGTCAAGTTTCTAGTTAGGCCAAACACTCAAAGATGCAAAACAATAAATATCAATAGAGTTCAGAAAGTTAGATATTAAATGCCTGGTTGTTTATTTCAAAATGTATATTGAGGTATAATTCACATACCACATGCACTTCACCCACTTTAAAGTTTAAAATTCAGTGTTTTTAGTATATTCACAATATTCACAGATTCATGCTTCCACCACCATCATCAATTTTAGAACATTTTCAGCACCATTAAAAAAAAAAAAACCATAGCCACCCCCCACCTAACTCCTGGCAACAGCTAATCTGCTGTCTGTCTCTGTGGATTTATCTAGTCTGAACACTTCATATAAATGGCATCACATTATCTGTAGGTAGAGGAGAGTAGAGAGTGACTGCTTACTGGTTCAGGGGTGCTGAAAAAGTTCTAGAACCAGATGGCTCCAGCTGGGTGGTCACACAAGAACACGATTAACGTGTACGCGTTAAAATGGTCACTTTTGACTGTGTGTTCTTTCCTGTAATCATAAAAAATGTAGTATTTGTGAAGTCATTGGACACAATGAGATCTAATTTAAGAATTAGTCATGCATATTTGTGTCACATTGTATTAAGAGAAAACAGCAAACGTTACCAGTGAAATATCACCTCAAACAACAAATATTTTAGTTCATTTAACTAAAACAAGGGGTTTAGGCATTTTGTTTCTTCAACAAGGTATACTAATTTTAACAAAACAAGCATAAGGAGTTTAAAAATGTTTTTGCTATAAATATGCAACGTGCTGTTTTGCATGTCAGTAGACTGCTATTTGAGGGCTACAGCAAAGACTGGAATGTCAGGTTAAGAGGCTGGCCTCACCTAATTCTCTGTTTTCCTTACTCTAACCAGGCAAGATAGATGAACCTCCAGCTTCCCAAGTCCCTCAGGATTTCTCCCTTCAGCAGCAGTCAGCTACATCAACAGCAAGTTTCTTTCCTAGCCCTCTGGACCCTGGTGGGGTTCAGCCTGTGGGGGAAAGAGGAGGCAAATACCCAAGGGTTGTCTGGTCCTAAAGGTGATAACATTGCAGGGAATGGAATAAAATCGTAGTGCAAATCCAAGGCATCCACCAGGTTGGGCTAAACATCCTTCTGCTTCATGTGAGGGACCTTAGCGGTCAGTTTCTAAATAGTTTGGGACTTTCAGAAATGAAATTATTCAAGAATATTGCAGCCAAGCATTCATACGACAGCTTGTGCTACTGGCTGCATGTTAGTCATCTTCAGGATTTCCAAGCCCTTCCTGGCCCAGCCCCACCCAGAACAAACTGAATCCAGTGCTGGGCATGGATATCCTAGTGTTTAAAGCCCTTAAGTGATTCCACTGTGCAGACAAGGCTGGAGGTAAAGTCCTGAGAAGCTTGACTGGAAGTCTGACACATCTTCCATCTGCCAATACTCAAGCAGCTCAATTTAGCAGGTATAAACTTTGGGAGGAATCAAAGTCCTGCTCCCAAAAGAACCCTCCAGAAGTTCTGTTACAAAAGCTAAATGGAAGGAAGAAACGCAAGGAGACAGGTGAACCTTACTGTTGTTCATTCACTCACCCCCTCTGCCTTCATTCATTCACTCACTCATCTACTCAACATTTCTTAGGTTCTGCTATGTGCTTGACCTTGGGGAAACCAAGATGGTAGAAAGGTGTGGTGCCTCTCTTGAGAAAGCTTGTGTGGTCGGGCCTGCTGGCCTAGGGGTTAAGTCTCAGTGTTATCACCGCTTCAGCCTGAGTTTCATTCCTGGCCAGGGAGCTGACCCATATGGTGCAGCAGACCTCTCCTGTCTTGCTGCTGCTCCCCTCAGCAGTGTATTTCAGTAGATCCGTCTGCTCCCCACTCTGTCTCTGGTGAATAATCTCACCCCCCACACCTCTGGCCTACACCCCAGTTCTTGTATGCATGAATAAATAAAATAAATATTTTTTAAAATTTCGTGTGCCTATGTTCTGTGTGTCTGGAGCAATCAGGAAAGGGGCGCCTCACCTAGTCTGAGGCAAGAGGAAGGAACACCCAGATTTCTGAAAGAAGGGACCCCCTCCTCGGGGAGGACCAGATGTGAGCCAAGCATTGCACTGCACTTCTGAGAAGGCAGCAGAGGCCATGTGCCTGTGGTTCTCAGCCTGGGCTGTTCCCTGATATCCCACTAATGTGTGTTCCCACCCAGAAATCTGGTTTCATTCATCTGCAGTGGGGTCTGGCATTTATATATTTTAAAAAATTCTATTTTTTTATTGAGGTGAAATTCACACAACAAAATTAACCTTTTCAAGTTACAATGTCCCACAGCCACCACCTCTGGTGCCAAAACATCTTTGGCTGATCGGTTGTGTCCACCTTTGCTGGTTGTGAACAGAGCCGGTATGAACATTCCCACACAAGTATCTATCAGCTGTTTTTTTTTTTTTAAGATTTATTTTATTTATTTATGCATATAAGAGCTGGGGTGTAGGCCAGAGGTGTGGGGGTGTGGGGTGGGTGAGAGGATTCACCAGAGAGAGTGGGGAACCGGTGGAATGACTGAAATACACCTCTGAGGGGAGAAGTGGCTGAGACAGGAGAGGTCTGTTACGCCATGTGGGTCAGCTCCCTGGCTGGCGATAGCTCCATAGTGCTGAGACCTTGCGCCAGCAGGGAGGCCCACCTACCAGCTGTTTTCAATCCTTTGGGGTATATACTGGACGTCTATATATTTCTAAGGCTGTCCCAGGGATTCTAACATGCAGTCAAGATCCATCCATTGTCCAAGAAAGTCCAGCCAGGAAACTTGTGCAGTTAAACACACCTGCCTTCCCCTAAACGCCCCTCCAACCAACCCCGCAACTGTGCTTACTTGCAAGGATATTTTCTACCGGTAGGTGGCGATCTTGCTTGCATATCCAAGTTTCTCAAAGGTTAGTCCGTGGTAGCGCAAGAAAATTAACCTGGAAAGGGTTCTAGGTAGAGGATTCCTTGGCAGAGGAGCTGCTATTTGGAAGTAGCAAGAGAAAAGTGCTCAAAGCAGAAGCATTTCCCCTGGTTCTGATGTCTGGTTTTTAGGAGGAATTGCCTTTTTTTTAAAAATTAAACAAAGCTGCTTACTTTTTTTGTCAAACTATTGAAAAATCTCAAAAGTTTAAAATGTAGGGCTTTTTTTCCCCCTTCAGGTATTTTTTTCACTTGCTTCATTTTCCAAGGCAGCTTAGAAACCTGACTTGAAAAGCAAAGGCTAAGAAGGGCTGTCCCTGCAGGAAAGTGCCTGCACAGGCACTGGGGGTGGGGTGGGGTGGAGGAGTGGACCTTTAGAAGACTTTGCGCCAATCATTGAAATGCAGGGTTCCTCCATCCTTTTCCAGCCTCCCCTTGTTGTACCTTAAGAACCAGCCATATGGGGCCTCCCTGGTGGCGCAAGGGGTTAAGACGCAACCTATGAAGCTATCCACAGCCACTGCAGCACGAGTTCAATCCCCCAGCCTGCCAGGGAGCAACCCATACTGCGCAGCAGAGCTCTCCTGACTTGCCCTCACCCGCTGCTCCCCTCAGTAGTGTACTTCGGTCAATCTGCCTGTTCTGTTTCCCACTCTGTCTCTGGTGAATCCTCTCACCCACCACACCTCTGGCCTGTACCCCAGCTCTTGTATGCATAAATAAATAAATCCTTAAAAAAAAAAAAAGAACTAGCCATGGACCTAGAGGCTGGAAGGGACCTCTTAGATGGAGTTGCTGGTCAGATTCCATGATGGAAAATGATTCTGAAAAACAAACAAAAAACCTCTCAACATCCACAAATGTCCAAAGGTGTCAAGTGGCAGTGACAGCTGGGAGTTAAAGTACAAGTCTCCTAACTCCAAAAAAAATAAGTTGGGAAAAGACACCACCCTTTACAAAAATGGTGTGTAAATCTCTTTGTGGTCCACTGGAACAGATTCTCAACTGTTAGTGTCAGCAAGCTTGAATTGCAACAAAAAGTTTAAGAAGCCCAAACTTCAGAGCAAAAAACTAAAATAATTTTTTTTTTTTTAACAGATGACCAACACACAACCCTTCTGGGTTTGCACAAGTTAGACATATTCCAGCCTCTCATCTGGAAAGACGATAGTGGATGTGGCTGCTAGACCACAGG